TTTGTATTAAATAGGGGAACTTGTCGGCAAATAAAACGGTTTCGCAGACCCAAACGGATGTCATATCTTTCTTAGTTTATTTGATCGAGTCTCACCCTCAAGTCTTGTGTTTATCCCTTGGGGTAGATACAGGATTTGAGGTTGAGTGCTCTTTCATTTAAACTATGGAAAATATGAGGTCAGTTTGATTTCATATTTTTCTAAAATTATATATATATACGTAAATTAAAAAGTCCTTCCGAAGCGGGCGACGGGATTTCGATTCCGGCGACCGACAGCTTCTTACGGGCGACCCCCAAACATTTAAAAACTCTCTTTTCCCCCTTTTAAGCGCCAACAATTATATTGTCCCTACCCCCATATAATATGCTAAATTTAATAGTATTGCTTCATGCTTTCAAAGAAAGAGCTGTGCCATGGTTCGATTATTTTGTATATTTTATGAAAAATAGAGCTGGAATAATTTACATAACCATGTGAAAGCCAGAGCATAGAAACTAAGAATGGAAATAATAAGTTATTAAAACCTCCAAATGTTGTCTATTATATCACCATCGATCGATGACCTTTAATGTATTCTCATAATATTTAAAGCCGCTTTATCCAATACAGAAATGCTAGTACTTATAGCATTAACAAATTTATAAATGAAAGAAATTGCAATAATTAATTGTAGATAATTAGTATTAAATAGAAAATATACGAAAAGGATGCAATTGTTTCCTAAAATTAGCACCATGTATCCAAACTTCTTATTTGTTACAACTTGAACTGCACATAAAAATAATTCTTGTAGTGGTGGTTCTCAGGTTCAGAACAAAGAGAAATAGAGAAGCATTAAAAAAAAAAGCCATATGCGTGACAAAATGATAAAATGAGGTGCCTATATAATAGACATTGTAACACGAAAACTGACCTTATCAAGAGAAATAATCTTGTCCATTGCCGAAAGATTGATGATTACCTACAAAATCAATTGGATAAAATGTGAACTGTCAATGTTGGCTCCCGAAGGACAATTCTAAATCTTTAATAATCCTTACGAAGTTAAAACTGAATTATAGTTGTTCTATGAATTTTTTCCACTAACCCAAAGGGAACCAAGTACTGCAATGACTGAAGCTGAAATTGAAGAAGCTTGGTACAAAATAAAGTGCGAAGGGAGTTTCAACTTCACGAGTTTCAAGTAATAACAATAGCAACTCTTTTTTATTATTCTCATTGCGCACAATGTAAAATACTTTTCCATGGATAAAATTTTAGTGATAAAAAGACAAATTTACACATATACCACACAATTCTAATGTATTTACATATCTAACATCTAAAATTTGATATGTACACTTTATCATCTTGGTTTCATAAACTTATGCATGAAAAATATGAATTTCAGTCTAAAAAATTAGTGAAGGTGGAATATTTGATGTGATGTTAAAGATTTGGTGGTATGCATGTAAATATGAATGTTTAGGTATTGGATATGTAAATACATAAGATTTGTGTGTTATGTATGTAAATACCCTAAAAAAATCCTCAAAATTCCTTTCAACGTGCCACATCAATTTACCTCTATCATGTTAACAAAACCAAAAATCCCCTCTATCAGATTCCTGGGGTATGAACCCTACTAGGAACCGACAGGAAAATGTTTGAGAAATTTTAATTAATAACCGAGTAAGGATTCCCGATAATAATTGTCATGCTCATCCACAGAATTCTCTTCCCATAACTTTTGGAACATGAGCACAATCAACAATCCCCTAAGATTTAATTTAAGGTGGGGTTGGTGTCAATGAGTCATTATAATGGGTAGCAAATTGTGGGAATCTCTATGGACTGTTCTTTTAATGAAAAAGCGTGTTATGTTTTATCTGAAATATAAGGAAATATTTTCTTAGATGCTATTTCCGATACTAAGGTAGTCCAAAAAGTACTGTTATGTCGACCTTATATTATCTGAGTAATGGCCAAATAGAATTTTAACTAAAATATCTCAATCTTGTTAGCTAAAAGAAAATTGAAAATTGAAAAGGCTGCAACCTCTATTGATAATTCCATATGACATTGAAACAAAGAGATTGCATTCTACAGATGACAATGATAAATAAATAACATTACCATCTCCCTAACAATAAACCAAAGGCTACAGCCACAATTGTATTGCTATTAAAATCGTAGTTACTAAGTTTAAGTAAAGGCTAATAATGTAACACTCAAAAATATAGAAAAGCGAGATAAACGTTTACCAAAATTATTCATTCCTTGATTTAACAAAAAAACCAAAAAAAAAAAAAAACTCTGTTCTTACCTTACCTATACTTTATGCTACTGAACTTGTAATATCATTTTTCTGTATACATGCCTAAATTTGATTGTATTTATTAGAATTATGTCTTTGATGCCTCTAATATGATGCCATTGATTTATAATAGATTATTGCACGGTATAGTGTATGATAATATAGCAGATTATAGTATAATATAGTACAATATATTATAGTATTGCATACTGATATACCATAATATAACATAATACAAAGAACGGAGGAAGACGGGATTTCCATACAAAAGGCTCATGTTGACTCAATGATGTCCTCAAGATGAGCTTATAACGTAAGAATATTTTAGGTATAAAAAAGAGCTAACATGATAATCATGAGGACATAATGTAATGGCATTCAATATTAGGGACCTAAATGTAGTTTTTGAAACAATACAAATCAACATAAACACGTCCAATATCAAAGGGACCTCCTATATGTAATTTATCTCATGAATAACGCAGAGTCATTCTCCTTACTAAAAAAACAAGAAAAAAAATATATTATTTACTAGTTCAAGTGAAATATGGCTCTAGAATACAAATTACAGAAGTAGATAACACGGTGATTACCTCATCATAGACAGGCACACTTCCACCTACCAGGCCAGTATTACCACCTTGAGGAACAACAGCCAAACATCTGGAGTTGCAGTAGTTAAGAATTTTAGAAACCTGAGAGATAAAGAATGCATTAGCATTTAAAGTAGGTGCATTTATTTGATTTATATTTTTTGAATGACTATGAAAATAATAAGGAAATCAAAGCAAGGTATAATAACATTTTGGCTAAGAAAAACCATCTCTAATTAAGAAACTTAAATAAAAATGCTTGCAAACAGTGATTTACATCTAGAGTAAAGAAGAAATTTATAAGTCAAAGGTAGGGTATGTTTATTAGGATTTGTATGATGGAACAATGATGCATTAGTAGTAATTGTCAAGTAACAAAAAAATTCAAAGGTATGTTATTATATTAATGATCAACATTAAATTTGTATATCTTGTATTTTCTATGGAGATACTTATAAGAGATACTCAACATAAGCTATTTATAGATGACATATTTCTTATATATGAGGTCACTAATAAATAAATGTAAATTAGAACAACAGAAATTTTTTTTTCTTCAAAATTAGGGTTAATTTTAGTAGAATAGCTTAATTACATGTGAAATTGATGATTATCAGTCTATACCACTAGAGGGCTAAATGATAATTACATGTACGGATGGAGCACTCTTATAACAGAAATGAAAATGTAAATAAGAATATAAGATAAAAAGTTAAAGTTGGACTATTAAAATAAATAAGTGGTTATGGACTACTAATTACTAAGTGTCATGTGTTAAGAATCACAATTGAGCGCAACCAAATTTAGCGTAATAACAACGATAAGTTTAAAAAGGATGTCATGCAAGCTATACAGTATAGAGTGTAAAATAATTAAATTACATAAATGGTGAAGTGTTATTAAAAAATGAAATGATAGAAAATAGCCTTATGATTCTTTGGCATATCCAAAGGAGGGCAAAAAATCCAAAAATTAAAAAAAAAAAATGTGGACAATAAAACTAATATAAAAACTTACAATAAAACAAGGATAGGATAGCAATCATATGTCAAAAACCATTTAAAAGACAGACAACATCTCAAGTAGCAAATTAATAATTTAAAAATCTAATCAGGGATAGAGGAGATAAATTTGACAATGATGATGATAACATGAAGAAATATGGATGTAATATTAATATGTCAAAAAAATAATTGAGATTATTCATGAGCTAATATAATAATGTTGTAGACATTTTAAAGCAGTATATAGAGTAATATGACACTTAGGAAAAAGATTGCGGGTCCTAGACTTTACTGCCGAGCATTTTCATACTTGTTGATAGCAACCTGCACCGTCATGCAAACATGACAATGGTTTGTCGTTGGATGGCATGATTGGACCTTTGACTATCACGATTTTGGCTTAAGCAAATTACGCCCTCTATATATATATATATATATATATATATTGAAAAAAACCCAAGGGCTAATATATTAAACAAGAAAGATACAGATAAGTTGTATGAGTGGGCCTAAAAGACACAACCGACACGATACAACACACACAAAATTCCAAAAAAAAAAAAAAGAGCGAAGATACATCTAAGATCACAAAAACAAAAATCCACAAACGCGAGCAAAAAGCTAGGGACGACTCAGTTTAGTCATGGCTCTGCCTTGAGTTCTTGGAAGGGAGCCGGCTAACAAATTGGTGAGGTGCGTACCATTACCCAAAGTAACCAAAGTATCATTCATCAGATTTCTGAGCTCAAGTAGGTCTCCATTCTTATTCTTCCTTCTGGATGTGTAAATTTGTCATTCCTCATCCGAAGATTAACTCATCTGATCAGTGGATGGTCGGACAGGTGTAGGATGTTGCACATCATAAACCCCATGTGCTTGAGTAACATTAACATCTTGCTCGACCTGATGAGGTGGTAGAGAAGCAGTAGCAAGATTGTCACCAGTAACATCAGTAATAGGTTCTAGGGCAAGTGAAGTCTGTAATGACGCCCGAGTACTATGCTCCAAACCAACGGCTAGAGTAGAGTGTTCAAGAGCAGGAGCATCCAGGGGTAAAACGGCTTGGTATGGTGTTCTTTATCTGAGACAACCAAGGTTTGAATAGGAGGATCATCAGAAATTTTCCCATTAGGAAAAACGTCATGTAGATGAGCAAAGGTATGTACAGTGTTGGAAATAGGGTCGGGTTGCACCTCCTCAGTAGATATGGTAGGTGGCAAGACGTCCACCCCAATTCAGCATGAATAGATTTTTGAACAAGTTACTGAACTTTAACAATATCCGCCCTTAAGTGAGGATGCAAACAATGACAAGTAGTAGAGTTGCGGCCAAACATGAGCAATATGGAGGGTGTGATTCTATTTCAACATTTTGTCAATACCCAATGTGATTGGATCTAATCCATACCTCATCTGGAGCTATTTGGGTGATATCTCTCTCAACTAACACACAAACCACAGAGGGTGTGGTGACAACAAGCGTAGAACTATCAACCTTGAGAGACTTACCGTAAACAGTTGCTAAGGAGTAGAGAATTTCAAAATTTATATATATGTATATATTAAAGAAATGACCAGATGCTATCATAGGAGACTCCAGCCACTCTGAATGTGCCTAACAATTCCAGTGTCGCCTCCTTAAGACCAACTATGTCAGAGGGAATTCAAACCCCCCGACCTGAGAGGTCTCTCTCTCTCTCTCTCTCTCTCTCTCTCTCTCTCTATATATATATATATATATATATATAGATATTAATTTTGTGAAATTTACCTACATACCACAAAATTCTTATATATTTACATATTTAACAACTATAGTTAATATTTACATATACACATTGTTTATCATAAGAACATCAAAACATATGCATGAAAAGTATTTCATTTAAGAAAAATGTATTTGTGATATTTTTAATACGAAGTTGAAATTTTGCGGGTTATATGAGTGAATGCTAAGTTTGTGTGTTTAGTTATGTAAATATATAAGAATTGCATTGCATGAATGTACATACAGCTCCCATACTTTTTTCATATTAAATATTAAAAATCAGTTTAGTGTGCATCTTGATGGCAGTACATTGTGCGTTAATGCCCATACATGGCGCAAATAGGGCACCATTTTGTTGTGACATGTCGCACCAAACAAATGGTGGTGTCAAGAATGTGCTGCGTTGCATCATAGCAAAGGCTATTTTGCTTCACTAAGATATATGAACAGTTTGCATCAAAGTTTCCAATAAATCTTACTATGAAAAGAAATCACAAATTTAGATATTAAAGGGATTTCGTAAGATTTTGGTCAATCACATTAACGGAGCACCTAAACTGCAAGTCCAAAACTATCTTGTCATGTCAATGCTTCACTATACAAGCTAGTAAGGCAGGTTTCTATATCAAAATTAAGACATTTCAATTGAACCATGCAAAATAAAATAATTTATATCTAATAAGAGGAGCTAAAGGAAGAATGATAGGGAGCATGAGAGAGAACAAGAGGGACAGCAAGGTGATGACAGAGACTGTTAATGGGAAAGAATGGAAGCAAAAGACAGCGTAATAGTAAGAAATGTGGAAGAATTGCATTGGAAATAACAGGTTGAAAGAACAATAGTGGAACCTGTACAAGAGAAAGATGGTTCTCAGCAAAAGTATGCTCTGTATTCTGTACATTCATATTTGGAGTCCTTTAAGTTTAACAATGAGTATTCAAATTGAAATATATATATAATATATATATATATATATATCAAATGCCATAATGTAGCTTCAAAAAATTTAAATTTCCCTGGCATTCTCCATCAACCGATAGATACCATATCCGGTTATTCTTCCAGTTTGACTCTTCTGAAACTATATATATAGCTATCATGAAACAGCTAACCGAATCCATAGAGGAATTAGATAAAATAAACTTAGATTTTTGAGTCTCTAAGAAAACTACTTTGGTTAGCTTCTACAAACCTCTTCAGTGTTTCTAGGTAACAGCAAAAGCTGGCTTGAACCTCTGTACTTCCGCAACCAATCAACATTCGCAGTGAGCAATCTATCTTCATCCTGAATAACGTTTTTTTCACCTAATATCTCCTTGAAATAAAGAATGTCATCTGGATTTATTATTGAAAAAGATGGATTCCTCTTCGTATGTGTAGCACCTGAGCTGAATAGCCTATGATGGAAAGCACCAATATTAACCATTTCGAAAGCTCTGTGCCTATTAGTTGCTCCAAAATATTTCCAAGGATAAATCCCTCTACACAACATTGAAAAGTGTTTGGAGGACTGAACTGCAGCTTTTTCACGAGCATAAAATAAGCCTGAGAAAAGTCTTAAACTTTATGAATTAGAACTATAATGGCAAACTAATTAGGAGCATTTACATAAATACCACGCAATTCTTAAGTATGTACATATATAACACCTAAACATTCATATTTACATGCATAACACTCAAATCTTTAACATCAAATCAAAAATAGAACCATAATTTCCTTTTAAAAATTGAAATTCACATTTTCATGCATAAGTTTATGACATGGGGTGTGCGTGTTATTAATGTAAATATCAAACTTTAGGTGTTAGATATTTAAATACATAAGAATTGTGTGGTGTGTATGTAAATTCCCAACCAAATTACTGTATGAGGACGCATGCTAAGCCCAACTGCCAAAGAAGTATAAGCTGCTAAAAATCTAGCAATATTTTCCAGGAACAAGCATATTAACAAAAAAAAGTCTTAAATTAGTGCATTGCAAGAATATTTTCCAAATTAAGGTTTACACTCCAAAAATAGGGACTGAGGAGTTTGAACACACCAAGAAAGAGGCAAATTGGGTGTGCATCAACTTTAACGAATTTCTTTGAAAATTCTTTTCAATTTGAAACCCTCCAATCAAACAGGTGGAATAAAGTAAATAAACATTTAAAAATAAGCACACAACTATAAAAGTGTAAGTGATTTGTATACAAGATATGTACTGCTACAAAGTGAGTGATTAATATTAAGCACCAAAAAAAAAGAGGAAAGGAGCTAAAACAATCCCCTGACCCTTCGTAAGGGGACATATTAGTTCTAGAGTCTATAAAAGTGTTAATTTAGTCCCCAAACTCTTTTAATATGGGCTAAAGTAGTTCCCATGGTTTGGGGACTAATATGACATTTACAGACTCTGGGACTAATAGGCCCGTGTAAACAAGCAAGGGACTATTTTGGCACTTTACTTAAAAATAATATAACACTCAATTAAACTAGCACACAAACTTTTCTCAAAGTAAATCAATCCTAAAAGAATAAGTGGATAGATAGATTATGCAAATAAGATAGTAAATGAACAACAAGCACAAGTATGATTGTATCACTAAATTAAGATAAGAACAAGCTCCTCCAAACAACCTACTCAACTGAAAAAAACAATTACACAATTGATATGTAATACACTTGTATAAAAAAATATGAGTGAGTGAAGCAACTAATAAGCTTAATAATGAAGATCCACTTTACAAGACACATCTAGGTTTCTTTTTTTTTTCAACAGCGACATCTAGATTGTATGTAAGAGTAATTAATTTTAGGGCCAAGAAATGAATCTACCCAATCGCAATGACATGAGAACATTAGCATGTGAATCACCACAATAATATTAAGCATATATATTAATTACACAAATGATCAATAATAAAAAATTCACAGTGAAAAGCAATGGGCGTGAATATTTTAAGGCGATTTAACTCTCATTTGGCTTACATTATTGCAAAGGCATTTCCTTGCTTAGGATTACAGTACCTTTCAACTTATGGCTCTCATATTTTTGATATAATAGCCTTACACCTTCTGTTCTACTATATTCAGCAAATAGCCCCTCAATTATCACACACAAAGAACTATTTTCTTAAAATAAATCCTACTTAAATTCAGTACCATATAGCCCCAAAATGATATATGTATCCACTGGCTTCAAATTTTGAGTTTATGCTTCAAATATTTTTATTGTAGGAACTAGGATTTAAAATGAAAAAGATGAAATGTTTTGCCCAAATTTAGAGAGAAACCTCCATATTATACAAAGGTACAAGTATAGTTGCTGCCCCCCGTGGCCTTAAGTAAATATAGATAACGCAGAGCATATTCCAAACTTAGAAGAACAAAAAATCAAGCAACAAGCAAGTTCGGTTAATCACCAAAGCATGCTCTAGGAAAAACAATAACCAGAGAAGAGATATACACCAGTTGTTGAACGAAAAGTACTCCTGTACATTCAAAAGCCAACTGAACCATTACAACTGACATTAAAATCACCATCCAATTTCTCAAAACAGCTTAGAAATCCTTCTTAAACAGCACAATGGTTTGTCGTCCAAAATTCCAAGTAGGCATACAAGAAATTCTCGAGTTCGTGTGAGAGAAGGGATCTCGTTTAAGCGAAATGAAATGGAAAGCAGGTTTAGGTTATAAGTACCAGAGGATGGGACGAAATCTAATGATCGAAACAGTGCTGAAGGACCGCGTTCGCAAGCGAGTAGAAGCTGCGATGCCCTCCGCCGCGCCATTGATCGCTCCCTTAGGGAACCAAACTTATCCCCCGTTTATTTTTCTGACGATAGGCGTTCGAATATATATATAAACTTATCTGAACATTTAAAAATAAAATAAATTACATAAAGACCACCAAAATTTTTTATATTTGCAAATCCACCAATATGATTTTTTTTTATTTAACCATGAATTTCGATATTCAGTGAAAATTTGAAAAAGGAATGGAAAAGTATGGTTGATTTGTAAATAAACGATATAATTGATTATTTAATGAAAATAATAACACTTTTATGTAAAATAAAAAATTTGTCGTCCAATCAAAAAACATTTGTCCTTTTTTTTTTATTAATTGAGTGCTATGTATGTAAATGCCCCCCAATTTAATTGTTATATTTGTTTTATTTGTCATTCTAAAGTTCGAATATGACAATTGATGCAATTTTACTTTTTAATTATCACATCATTAATGTCGTCAATTTGAGAATTAAATTCAAATAATAATTTTTATTTATTACTTTAATTATATTTAATGTCAAACATCTCATTTAATAGCTAATAATATTTATATAAGTATTTTAAATTTCAAGTAACTTGTGATTATATTATAAACATTTTTAAATTTGATTGCTTTGACTCAATTGGGCCTTATAATGCCACAAATAAAAATAATTATTTTTTTTTTATCCCCTTGATATTATTGAGTACCGATAATTACATACAGACGCCCAAAACATTGATATTTACATATTAAGTATTAATGTGATTTTTTTTTAATTACCGAAAATGTATTTATGTCTGTCATGATCAAACTATAGATAATTTGATAAAAATGGAAATATGGTTTGAGCTTTTATCATGAATTTTGATATTTGCGTGAGAATTTGAAAAATGAATGAAAGAAGCTGGCTGATTTGTAAATAGCAAGTTTTGGGTGATCTCTATGTAATTGCCCCATTTGAAGATGAATTTAAACATATTTACAAGCTAACTAACAAAAAAAGGCCCATCATCATTAAATTGATCACAAAAATTAACTTAAAACCATGCAAGAAGTTTCATAGGAAAAGTCACATGCAACACCTTAGAGACTGACTAATTACAAAAGTAACCTTCAATACAGAATTAAATATAGGAAAATTTTATCACAACTGCATTGTCTGTTACAAAGGGGGGCGGTTCTAAGTAAATATTACAGAGTGAGACATCTTTAATCTTCCAAAACAAAAACAAAAAAAAAGAAGCGAAAACACCATATCTGAATCATATGAAACCATTTTTTGCTGCAAACTTCGTTAAGGCTGAAGAAGATAAATATATACCTGAATAAGTTTTCTTTTAAGCGCTATGTTATTTACCTTCATGGAAATCATCAGTAGCAGTGAAAATAGAGTCCACTCGAGAAAGGAAACATCAGTGCTTAGAGCGCAAAAAATCTTCCTCTAGCTCTTCAAGAATGCCTGCAATGAGAAGGGTGGAGGACCATCCTGCAAAAACAATTGAAAATTTTATTTTACATGTGCGATTTTCAGATCTTTGCGATTCTTATTATCCTGAGAATGATTCTTTATCAAACTCGCTGATCCACGACTCATGTAAATTGAGATCATCAAAGTTCTCGTTTGAGAAGGCAGTGAAGCTCTTTCTGTTGCAGTGAATGTCTATGCATGGAATTGTTTTTGTTCGGTAAAGCAACATCTCTCGAAATTGTTTCAACGGAACGATAATTTTTTATCATTTTAGATCGCGGATGGAAATGTCCGTTCCGCGGAGAATTTTAAAGGTAAAATATTAAAAAAAAAATAGTGAAAAAGCTGGAATCCATATTGTAACTGCTTTTGTGGGTTGCTTTTCTCACTACAAGAGCAATTAGAAAGAACAAAAGCCTTAGGGCCGTTTTGATCAGCCTTGTCATAGATTTGCTTTCTAAAAAGCTAGCGTACTTCTACTACTAAGAACTTTTTTAACAAGAAATACTACAGTGCTGTAGTTATAAGAAAGCTTCTATCTAGCATTTTCTGAAGAGAAAAATCTATAATATCCAGAACAGATTTTAAGAAAATTTGCTATCCCCACAACAATTCCACAACAAATTTTTCAAACATCTATAACAGATTTCAAAAAAAAAAAAAATTGTTTTGTCTGCAACAATTCTATAATTATTTTTACAGACAGCTGCAATAGCCCAAATTGGACCATCAATCAACATTCTTTCTTGCATGATAATTCAAGGTGGGTTTCACTCGGGTGGGCGTAAGGAGATCAAATAATTCATTAATATAGCTAAAAGTAAACAAAAAGTTACCAGTAATCAAGACTAAGAGCTTTTTCGGGACAATTTTTTGTCTGTTTCGCTTTTCAGACCGCCACCATAATTTTATTTGGGAAACTGCTTTCTTCTTGCTTTTAGAAATTTATGTGGTACGAAATTGATTTTTTCAACTTGAAATGTTAAAGTATGGTGGTTGTCAAAAGCTGCCATCTAAATTTTTTAAAATAAAATAAATTTGTAATAGCAACCGCAGTTTGTTGAAATGTTGTTTCTTCTGCAACAGTTTCACGGTTGTTTCTTCAAACAACAGTAGTTGTCCAAGACAAACCCTAAGTCATTCAAGGATACAATACTCAACTATAGCGACGAAACTGAGCCAAGTCGACTCGTGAGCCAGCTTATGCTCAACTTCTTAAGTGGCTTGTAAACTAAACTCGATGAGCTAACAAGCCAAGCTCAAGCCCGCCCTAACTCGACTTGTTAGCTCGTGAGCCAGTTCATTTTAAAAAAAATTATTAATATAAAATATACAAAAAAATATGTTAAAATTTAAAACTTTATCTTTAAATCATGAAAAATGCTTAAAATATAAACTTTATATTTTAAATCAAGTGATTTATTATTAATTATCTACAAAATACTCATTCTATTTGTCATTTTATTATAACAACAGACCGAATTAATATTGTTCTCTCTCTTTCATATTACACATACCAGCTCGTGAACCGGCTCAAAACGTATAATTAAGCTTAAGCTCAAGCTCGAACTTGATTAAATAATCAATCTCAAACTCAGGCCGAGGATAGCTCTAGTTTGACTCAACTCGACTCATATATACCCCTACTCAAGTAGCAGATCATTCAAGGAAGAAAAGCATGGAGAAAAGAGAAAACCCCATGGGGCCATAATAAAGCACTGGGTTTTACGTACCTTGCCGAGTTCCTGATGCAGATAATGCCTGGTCACAGTTGCTTGCTGTATCAACCTCTCCATTGAAGAATAAGCAGGTAAATTAGCATGGGCTGCCATTGTCCATGGGAACAAAGCTGATCACTTTAGAAAATCATATCAAAAAGGTAGCAAAAAGGAGGGAAATTTTTTATTGAGCACCAAAATATTGCAGGGGATGTAAAAGGGAAACAAATTTGTGATGATATGTAAAATTTCATAATATACCAAGAACGGCTCTATTCAGATTGTCAGCAATACTTTGCCGGTATTCAGAACCAAGAAGATGAAACATGGGTGATTTTTCAGGCTCCTCGTAAGCTAGAAGTGCCATGAAATCCTGAATCATGCAGAACAAAAATTATTCCTTTTAAGAACTCATGAAATTGATTAAATAGTGATGGGTCCAAAGAACGCATATCAGGGAAATTTGATACTTTTCAGCAGCACCGGCAAGCATAAAGGGGCAGTTATTTCATAACTTTGTTTTATAAATAACTATTACAATTCTATTTGGCTATAACTATATTGCGGTCTTCTATAATTTTTTTTTAATGAGAAATAGCTTTTTACAATCAAATATACCAGACTGCAATAGCTGTAAGAAAACTATCTGCCACTTTTTCAAGAGGAAAAAAAAGTGGCATTTACATATGTGAATTTTGAATAACTTTTTTTCTCACTGAATACATAGATAATTCGCATAGATAATTCGCTACATAGATAATTCGCCTATAAATAAGCGAGTACAAGAGATAAAAAGAGGAAAGAAATCTTCCTACAATTAAGTAATTCCTATTATTATGAAATAAACATAAACACCTATAATAAAGGAATTACTCTTTTTATACCATGATAAAATATAGCAAGTACTAAATAGAATAACGTAAATAATAGTAAACGTAGTTACACACTCCCCCTCAAGGTGGGTTGTACAGATTGTACATGCCCAACTTGTTGGTTAGCTCATCAAAACTGGACTTAGGGAGAGTCTTGGTGAGAATGTCTGCGGTTTGATCTCTAGAAGGAGTATAGACCACTTCAATGATTTCATTGTCCACCTTCTCTAAAATGAAGTTTCTATCAATCTCAATGTGTTTCGTTCGGTCATGATGAACAGTATTCTTTGCGATACTGATTGCAGCTTGATTGTCACAAATAGAGCTGTCAAAAAAGCTCGTTGTTCGCGAACAGTTCGTGTTCGGTTCGTCAACGAGTTCGTGTTCAATTCGTTCGATAAGTAAACGAGACAAACACGAACAAATTTTTTTCGTTCGGTTAGTTAAACGAACCAAACACGAACAGTGATGCGTTCGTTCGTGTTCGAATCGTTATTGTTTGAAATATAAAATAATATAAAATAATTATATATAAAAAATTTATTATATTTTAAAACATTAAATTTTATAAATTATAATATATAATAAAATAATAATAATAATAATATTAATATACTATAGTAGTAATATACTAATACAGATATTGTATATTTATATAATATAAGTTATATAATTAATATATAATATTATTTTTATATATTAATATTAGAGATGTCAAATTGGCTCGTCGTTCGCGAACAGCTCGTGTTCGGTTCGTGTTCGGCTTGTTCGTTAAGAAACGAACACGAGCTTATTTCAAACAAACTAAATTTTAAACGAACCGAACACAAACACAAGCTTTGTTCGTTCGTGTTCGGTTCGTTTACACTCCTAGTCACAAAACATCTTGATAGAATTTTCTCACATAATTCAAAGCTCCTTGAGAAATCTTTTGATCTACATTCCTTCACAAATACCAAGCGTCAGTGCTCTGTATTCTGCTTCTGCACTACACCGAGATACCACCGATTGTTTCTTACTTCTCCATGTCAATAGATTGCCGCATACATACGAGCAATACCCAGAGGTTGATCGTCGGGTGGATATATCTTCTGCCTAGTCAGCATCAGTAAAGACTTCTACCTTTTGACTATCATTCCTTTTGAACAATAATCCTTTCTCAGGTGTCATCTTTAAGTATCTTAAAATACGGTTGACAGCTTCCATATGTTCCTCGGTAGGACAGTTCATGAATTAACTTACTATACTTACTGAAAAACTTATGTCTGGTCTGGTGTGGGATAAGTAACTTAGTCTTCCAACAAGCCGCAGATATCGTCCTTTGTCGACAGGTAAATTATCATTTTTCATTCCAATCTTTTTATACGGGTCTATTGGAGTATCTCTTGGTTTGCATCCAAGCATATCAGTTTCTTTCAATAGGTCCAATGTGTACTTCCTTTGAGTTACGGCTATCCCCATTTTAGATCTTGCAACTTACATTCCCAAGAAGAACTTCAACTCTCCGGGGTCCTTGATTTCAAATTCATGGGCTAGGAACTTCTTCAGCTTTGTCAATTCTTCAGTGTGATCACCGGTAAGAATGATGTCATCCATATACACAATAAGTACAGCAATCTTCTTCCCGGATCTTTTTGTGAACATTGTATGATCAGTCTGGCTTTGAGTATAACCCTAAACCCTAGATTACGAAATTGGTGAATCAGGCAAACCAAACATGAGGAGATTGTTTGAGACCATACAGAGATTTCTGGAGCTTGCATACTTTGCCACTAGGGAATGACCCTTTAAGACCAGGCGGTAAATCCATGTATACATCCTCTTCAAGATCTCCATTAAGGAATGCATTTTTGACATCAAGTTGCATAAGGGGTCAGTCTCGGTTTGCTGCAATGGAGAGTAGGATTCTAATGGAGTTCAGTTTGGCTACTGAGGCAAACTTGGTAGTCAATTCCGTATGACTGAGTATAACCTTTTGCAACTAGTCGGGCTTTTAATCGATCTATGCTTCCGTCTGTCTTACATTTGATGGCAAATAACCACCTGCATCTACTGGTCTCGTATCCTTGGGCAAATCAGACACAAACCACGTTCCACTCTTTTCTAGTGCAGCAACTTCTTCATTCACAGCTTTTCTCCATTCCGGGTGTGAGAGAGTTTCCTGAATAGAATTCGGAACCTTTATGCTGTCAATAGCAGTTACAAATGTATGATAGGGAGGAGATAACCTCTCATATGAAACAAATCGGGCAATAGAATGTTGAGTGCAAGGAACATCAGAATCATCTTTCATAGGCGGGGTAAGCTCATAATCACTAGTGTCTATAGATTTCGTACCTAAGTGAGTTTCAGAGGATTTTGGAGCCGGATTAGATTCTTGGACAGCAGCTGGAAGCGGTGTTAGGTTCTCTATTCTTTCAGCAGTTCTGTTTCATCTTGTATAAACCCGAAGTTCCTGAGGAGTGGGTTGTGTAGACTGAGGAGGTTGAATAGGAGAAGGTGTGGGTTGTGTAGACTGAGGAGGTTGAATAGGAGATGGAGGAGGTCTGACAGTCGGTGAGGTACCCGTGTCAGTTGGTAAAGGAACACAGGACTGTTGTTCACTACGACTACTCTCCCCCTGAATGACAGACCCTTGGTAGTATAATTGATGCTAAAAAAATGTGACATCTATAGAATTGTAGACCTTTTTAGTTGAAGGACAATAACACTTGTAGTCTTTCTTGTTGGTCGAAAACCCTATGAATATGCATTTGATAGATTTTGGGTCTAATTTACTGCGGTGTTGTTTGTGAATATGAAAAAAGACGGAGCAACCAAATAATTTGGTAGGGACAACTGAAGAGAGTGTACAGGTATTTGGAAAGGAGCGAAGGAGGACATCAATTAGACTACGGAAACCCAGAATACGAGAGGGCATCCGATTTATGAGATAGGCAGCGGTTAATGTTGTCTCGCCCCAATAACATTTAGGGACCGATGTGGTAAACATGAGATATCGGGCTACCTCCAACAAGTGACGATTTTTCCGCTCAGCAACCCCAGTTTGTTGGGGAGTATCAACACACATGCAAAGGTGAAGGATGTCATGTTGAGTAAGAAAATTCTCTAGTGATGTGTTGATAAAATCTCGTGCATTATATGTTTTTAGAGCCTGGATTTTTGTGTCAAATTAAGTGAGTATCATTTGATAGAATGCATGAAATATTGGTCCTACCTCTAATTTGTCATGCATAAGATAGATCCATGTCACCCGTGTATGATCATCAATAAAAGATACGAACCATTGGGCCCCAGAAATATTTTTTCACGAGAACCCCATACGTCACTATGGATCAGAGAAAAGGAACGAGTGGGTTTGTATGATAATCGAGGAAATGAAGTGCGAGTGTGTTTGGCAAGTTGACAAAATTCGCAATTAAAAGAGGTAGAATTTTATTAATAAATAAATGAGAAAACAGTTTTCCCAGGTACATAAAGTTGGGATGACCTAAACGATAATGAAGTAACATGATTTCACTATCATTATTAA